CATTCTGCTAAGCTAACCACTCTACTAACAGAACTATGCTGCTAAGATAACCTCACTGCTAACAGAACCACTCTGCTAACAGGACCATTCTGCTAAGTGAACCACGCTGCTAACAGAACCTCACTGCTAACAGAACCACTCTACTAACAGAACCATGCTGCTAAGAAAACCTCACTGCTAACAGAACCACTCTACTAACAGGACCATCCTGCTAAGAGAACCTCACTGCTAACAGAACCACTCTACTAATAGGACCACTCTGCTAAGAGAACCTCACTGTTAACAGTACCACTACTATCAGGACCATGCTACTAACAGTAACAGTGTTTATATAACACTATTTTTATTTTAATTGCTATTTATGGTTGTTTAGTGTCTGCACTCTATATATTGTCTGTCTAAAACAGGTCTCTCTTGAAAATGAGTCCTTGTAACTCAATGAGACTTCCTGTATAAATAAAGTTTAAATAAAAAATTTAATTAAATTACCAAAATGTACCAGGTAAGAATTAGGGATGTTACATTTTGTATTGCTTCCAAAGCTCTGAAAATATCACAAGTCCCCAGTTAGTATTTAACTAAATAATGTTTCTGATTCTGTAAGTATATAATTAAACTTGACATTTTCTCTTTACTTTATCAACTTATAAATTTAAAGTTAGAATCAGACCAGATGAAGACTAAACTACAGGATTTTGTACCTCGCGCCGGGCCTGTCGCTCTTTATCCTTCTCAGCACGGATCCTCTGATGATCAGCTCGCTCTGCACGACGCTTTTCCTGTCAACACACAGAGCACCAACACTTCCTTTCACTTGGAAAAATCAAATGAAACGCATTTGCTAACAAACATTTACATGTTTGATATGAGTGATTTGATTCAAAGAAAACCTCACAATTCTTTCTTTGAGCGCAATGAGTTCCTCCTCTTCTTTCTTCCTGCACTCAAAGTGAGCGTCGATCAGCGACTGCAGCTCGATCAGATCCTTGTTCTGACGTTTCTTCTGGATGTCCTGTTCACACGCAGACACAAGGCTGATCTATTAACACTAACTTCCCACAGAGCATGGGACAATGACAGAGGTTTTTCAAATTCGACCAAAAATAAGCAAAATGATCAAAGTTAGTTTCAGCTGCAGCAGCAGCTTGAAACTGAAGGATGCACGTCAATCACTATTTTGGATTTTGAAACAGAACATACACTTGATCTGCCATAACTAGATCAAGATATTCACCCTCAGTAATAAACAGACACCATGTGTGATCCAGACTGGATTACATTAGAAAAGAATCAGCACAGATTTTATTATGTTTCACTTATAGCACATTTAGCTTTACAAAAAAACGCACAATTCATTATTTTTATGTCAATTGATTTATTTTATAACATTAAAAAATACATTTTCCCCTGTTAAGATGTTTTAATCATTATTTTTGATATTCTTGAGTTTTGGATAGCTCCTCCACACCCACCCACCAGATCGATGGTCGGTGTTGAAGCAGTGGTTTTGGTCAAGCCTGCACAAGTCAGCTGCTGTCAGCCATAGAGCCTTATTTATTTTTTTCCTTATTTATTTACTTACTCACTTACTTACTACTTAATCCAACAATGTTCAATTAGGTCATCTGGGCAGTTTCTTTATGTTTTGTTGAAAGACGTTTCGCCCTTGATCCGAAGGACTTCATCAGTCTGAGGAGTCACAAACAAACTGTTTCCCCAACAAGCAGTATGGTGATTGATTTGTCTAGGACTGCCTGCCTTTGAGGAGTTGATGGGGGAGAGGGCATCCCCCAGAAACCATCTTATTGCCAGCAAACTGGTTGGTCCACTATAGGAGTGTACTGTTTGGTGGGGAAACAGTTTGTAACTCCTGAAACTGATGAAGCCCTTCAGATGAAGGGCAAAACATCACTCAACAAAAAAAGAAACTGTCCAGATGACCTGACTGAACACTGTTGGATTGTTTACCTGCACTATTGAGGATGAACCTTGATACTTACTACTTACTTATTTACTTACTACTTACTTACTTTCTACTTACTTACTTACTACTGACTTACTTACTACTTACTTACTTACTTACTTACTTACTTACTTACTTACTTACTTATTTACTTACTTACTAACTTACTTACTTACTAATTACTTATTATTGATGATGAAACTTGTTACTTACTACTTTCTTATTTACTTGTTACTTACTACTTATTTATTATTAAGGATGAAACTTGATACTTACAACTTACTTATTTACATACTTATTTACATATTTTCTACTTACTTATTACTTACTTTCTACTTACTTACTTACTACTTACTTATTTACTATTTACTTATTATTGATGATGAAACATGATACTTACTATTTACTTATTTACATACTTTCTACTTTCTTACTTATTACTTACTTTCTACTTACTTACTTACTACTGATTTACTTACTACTTACTTACTTACTTATAAGTACTTACTTACTTCTCTCCATAAGACAAAACTCCATCCCAGACACTTGAAAAACAGCCTTTGTTCTTCCTTTGTTGAAGGGAGGTGACCCCACCTCACTGAACAACTATCGACCAATCTCTAAACTCTGCATTTTAGCCAAGGTTCTAGAAAAACTGATAAACTCTCAAATCAAAAATTACCTGGACTCATTTAACATCTTACCTCCACATCAATCTGGTTTCAGGAAACAACACAGCACAACGACTGCTTCACTGAAGGTTCTTAATGATGTTGTTGAAGCACTGGATGCTAAGGATTATTGTGCTGCACTTTTCTTAGACCTGTCTAAAGCTTTTGACACTGTGGATCATAACATCTTGTGTCATAAACTCTCAAAAATTGGTTTCTCAGAAGACACCATTGGTAGATTCTCTAACTATCTTTCAGACCGGAGGCAATGTGTTCAACATAATGGCACTTCCTCCAGTTATTTAACAGTCAACAATGGTGTACCACAAGGCTCAGTCTTAGGACCCACCCTCTTTACAATTTACATACATAATGTAGGTAAAAACATCCCTAATGCATCCATACATTTCTATGCTGATGACACAGTTGTTTATTGTCGAGCTAAAACTGTTGCTAAGGCTTTCCAGCTTTTGAAATCTGCATTCAACATCATCCAGACAGATTTGTTCCGCCTCAAACTTGTCCTAAATGCCGACAAAACAAAAGGGATGCTTTTTTCAAGAAGGAAGTTGGTCTCAGCAGTTCTTCCTCCGATTTTATCAAATGGTGTCCCCATTGAGTTTGTTGATTCCTATAAATATTTAGGTATCTTGGTCGACTCACATCTCTCTTTTAAGCTCCATGTGGAAAACTTGGTAAAGAAACTGAAAGTTAAACTGGGTTTCTTTTTCAGAAACAGATCCTGTCTAACCCTGAATGCTAGAAAACGTCTTGTTTCTGTGACTTTCCTTCCCTCCATTGATTACGGTGACATTATTTACATGAACGCTCCTACAAGAACCCTGCAGATGTTGGATGCTGTCTATCATGGTGCACTAAGATTCATAACTGGCTGTGATTATCGTACCCACCACTGCACCCTGTATTCACTGGTTAACTGGACATCATTAACTTCACGCAGACTCTCTCACTGGTAAATTTTCATCTTTAAATCACTTCTTGGTCTGTTGCCTTCATACATCTCCTCCGACATGTCTCTGCGTCAGTGCAGCTACAGCGTGCACTCTCAGGACATTATTACCTGCAGTGTTCCCTCATTGAGGACTGAACTAGGCAAAAGGGCCTTCTCCTACTCTGCTCCTGTTTCCTGGAATATCCTACAAAAAGATTTGAAGCTCTCGACCTTGACCTCTCTAAGTGTCTTTAAGAATCTGTTGGACTCCTGGCAGGGACCAATGCAGACATGTTCCTGTTTATAGTTTTCTACATTCGCCTTAGAATCTAGCTGTTTTTTTTTTTTTTGTTACCTTTTCCTTTTAGCCATCCTATTTGTAAAAAACAAACAAACAAACAAGCAAAAACAAAAAAACCCTGCAGTATGACTTTTTATAATTGTTTATTGTAGTTGCTGTTGTCCATTGTTGTCATCTTTCTTTGTTGAAATCAGGTCTCTTGTAAATGAGTCCTCGAGGCTCAATGGGATTTACCTGTCTAAATAAAGGTTGATTGATTGATACTTACTTACTTACTACTTACTTATTTACTATTTACTTAATATTGATTATGAACCTTGATACTTATAACTTACTACTTAATTTCTACATACTTACTACTGACCTACTACTTATTTACTTACTTACTTACTTAATATTTACTTACTTGCTACTTACTTATTATTGAGGATGAAACTTGATACTTACTACGTACTTATTTACTTGTTACTTACTACTTATTTATTATTAAGGATGAAACTTGATATTACTACTTACATATTTAGATACTTATTTACATACTTTCTACTTACTTACTTATTACTTACTTTCTACTTCTTACTTACTACTGATTTACTTAGTACTTACTTACTTACTTACTTACTTACTTACTTACTTACTTACTACTTACTTGTTTACTATTTACTTATTATTGAAGATGAAACTTGATACTTACTACTTACTTATTTACATACTTATTTACATACTTTCTACTTACTTATTTATTACTTACTTTCTACTTACTTACTTACTACTGATTTACTTACTACTTACTTACTTACTTACTACTTACTTATTTACTATTTACTTATTATTGATGATGAACCTTGATACTTACTACTTACTTACTTACTTACGTCTTACTTACTGCTGACTTACTTACTACTTACTTACCTAATACTTACTTACTACTTACTTACTTACTTCTTACTTATTATTGAGGATGAACCTTGATACTTACTACTTACTTATTTACATACTTTCTACTTACCTATTTACTACTTACTTACTTACTACTTATGTATTATTGAGGATGAACCTTGATACTTACTACTTACTTACTTACTTACTTACTTACTACTTACTTACACACTAATTACTTACTACTTACTTACATACTACTCACTTACTTACCACTTACTCACTTACTTATTACTTACTACTTATTTAATTACTTACTTATTGTATTGTATTTATTTATTAAACTTGTGCACTGGCTGAAGAATAATCTTTGGTGGTCAATGACACCACTGGCCACCCCCTGGCTCCATCATTGCACCTGCATGTGGAGTCCCCGAGGCTCAATGGGATTAACCCGTATAAATAAAGGTTGAATGAATTCCCCTCTAATTCACTGCTGTGTTTGAACTCACATCAAAATCCACCTTCTCTCCATCAGGGATCTTCGGAGCACTGGGTCTGTTGAAGGAAACATTAAAAGTTAACTAAGCAAAATAAAAAGTACTTTAAGTTGTAGCCATGCTAAAGCAGTCTTTCTGTACTCACTTAAACTTGGGTTTCTCCTCTGGTTCAAAACACCAAAAAGCACCAAACATGAAAGAAAAGAGTATCTGCTGTTAGAGAAATGAAGTAGTTGAGGATGAAGGGATGTTGGCTTCACCTTCATGAGTACTGAATGAGTTATATGAGCTTCTCTCCAACAACGGACCTAAAGACTGAGTTAGCCTGTTTCAAACACAGCAATACTGGTTGACGTCAGGAGGATAACAAACTCCAATCAGACAAGAAATACTTTTTTATTGTTTTGGGAAATTGCCTTTTTTGTTTTCTTGCTGAAATAAATAAGGTGGAAAAACTAAAACTTTCCCTCTTGAAGCTGCAGCTAGCTACCAGTAAGGAAAATCTGGCTCTTTAACACAATAAATAAAAAAATGAATATGACAAGTTTGAAACTGTTGATATTAGAAAGAGTTACAGTTATTGGTATCTTATCTTAGTATTATTATGTTGGATTGTTTGTAGCCAGGTTCACTCCTGTCTCTAAACTAAACAAATAGCTTTAAACAGCTGCTAACCCTATTCTCAAACATGACTGCGACTGGGAACAAACCATATCATTTTACTTTGTGTACATTGCTCCAACTGAAGCAGTATTACTGTGCATTTTATTTCTTAAAATAAAACATATGCGTTCATACAAAAATCAGATGTGAGACTACTGTTACCAAACGTTTTACTGTTAATTTATTTTTGAATTAGTGTGTAAATCAAACCAATATCATCCAAGACATTAAAAATGCTACTCATGATCAGTACGTTGTTGTGTAAATCATTAAAAGTACTGTAATAGTTAAATGTTTCGAGCATACAGTGCATCAGTGCACACTAAGATAGGGATATAAAATAGAAGAGGGAAGTGTACGATTAGACTTTGATTCGTTTTAAGTAACCCCCACACGGACAAAATAATTTCTACTAAAGGCAGAACAGGGAGGAACAGCAGAGCAAGCAACAGCAAGTGAGCTGGAAGACAAACTACCATCTTACCATCCTCCCCTGGCAGGACACATTCATGCAAAACAGAAAAGAAGCAGACATGAGCAGTGGGGCCTTAACTCCAGCTGGTTATTTATGAATCCATGCCCTCTTCCTTGGTGTCAGCTCGGTGGACTGACCCAAAGACTGAAGCCAACAGATTAACTCTCCTCTTGTCTCAAGGAGGATGAGTGACACAAATAATGCATGAAATGTGCACCAGACCGACTCCTTTACTCAAGAGGAAAACATGAACGTTCAAATCAGAAGAAAAGAGATGAATTCAGATCCACATACCTTCCTCTTCATAGGCCTCTGCATGCAGCAAACGTCCGAAGCAAGAGCAGAACAGAGATCATTAGGGATGGGACTGAACAGACGCTCAGCTGAAGAAGCACGTTTACATGTTGGGGCATTCTCACTGGAAACCACTGCACAAGTCCCCCGTCACGGCACGCACCAGCGCTGCAGGCAGCACTTCCCTTTACTTCTTGGACGCCTCAGAGATAATATTTTTGTCCACATCTGTGTGTTTGTGTTTCTTTATCTGCGGCGTTAGCAAAATATTTTTTGCACCACTGGATGGATTTTAATGAAACTCTCAGATAGTGAAAACTAAACCAGCTAAGCTCAGCTGACAATGCACATTCCTTCATGGAAAACTAGGTCTTTAGTATTCACAAATATTTTTAGTAACTTTGATGTTACTGAATTTTTTTTTACTATTAAAGGGAAAGTTGTTTGAGGTGTGTGATAGACTAGTAACTGGGGACAGCCTATGGACAGCCACCTATTATTATCCACCTAACAAGGATTTCTTAACTTTATTGGGAACTGCCTACAAAGGCAGACACCTATTATTATCCACCTGACAATGGTCTTACTCTTCTATCAACTTTATTATGTTCTGATATGGAAATGATCTATTCTTAGTCTCTTTAAATGAGGAAACAGTCTTTGTCTTTAAATCTATTTTCTCTTTGCAAAGGAACTCAGTCAGAAACAGCATTGAGTGAGTTGAGGAGATCTCAAACTGCTCCATATTTATGAACTCAGATTACACGCCATTGCATCTTATGTGTACCTGATGGAAAATACAGGCGTGCTCAAGGCTCTTTGCATGAACAGGAAGCTGTGGATGTCTGCTGAAAGAACACCGACGAGCAAAAATTGTTCGTCAGAAGCTTTCCAAGCACAGTCCAACCCTCAAGGTCATACTGAATGACAAATATATGTAAATTTTTCTCAATAACAGCCTCAAACCGCAACGTATACCCCCATAATTATATCAAAACGACGGACTCAGCACCATGATGTGTGGTATTACTTTTACTGGTGTTTCGAGTTACCATGACGACGTAATTTTTCAAACAAATACGCCATTTATCTCATTGAAACAAACTTTAAATCAGTCATTTTTAGAGATATGAAGCTAAAATGTAGGTGGTGGTAGCTGAGAGCAATGCCCCATCACATATTGAATCCAAATCAAAAATACAAGATGGCCGCCATAGCTTCACAGAACAAGAAATACTATAAGTCATTGATTTTTTTTTTTTCACATTGTGTTGTAATTTGGTCTGGTGGTAGCGGAGAGTGAACCCCAACACATAATACTGTCAAATCAAAAGTTTAAAATGGCCGCCATGTGGCAGTCCCTGTCAAAGTTCCTCCAGGAACTTTCTATTGTTTGCTATAACTGTAACTACACATGTTATTAGCTAATGATAAGTTTGAGGTTGATTGAGTTTTCTGTCACCAAGTTGCTTCGCTAAACGTACAGAAACAAACATCTGACGAGGACCAAACTGAGACCGAGGCTTCGTTTGAAAAATGGGCAGTTTCAAATTTGAGCATGGGATTTTTGTCTTTTCTAACACTGTCGATACAACAAAGGAGAGAAGACCTCTAGATCTTAGCTAAAGCAAAACTGTAAAGGTAGAAGACCAGGAAGTGTTTTCAGGAGGGTTTGGGACTTACTGCTAATTTAGTCGTTCTTGTGATCCTTGACTTTTACTGCGAAGAGTCTTTAAAATACCTGAACCTTTCTTCCTTTGATTTGATCAGAGCTGTGTCCTTCAGTGGTCAGTGTTTATCTAACTCACATGTTTCCTCCTTCAACGAACACTACTGTATTATTTGTGAATTCGAGCAGGGCTGGGATGTTTTTACACTGCTGTTGCAGAAGCAAAGACAAAGAAAGCTGTAGCAGACACGAGCCTGGGACTTGTGCTGTGACTCCCATTAAAACACTTCATCTGAAGCGTTTCAACACAATGTTTGTGTGGATTGCATACGCATGGTCGTTGTGCATCCCCAAATGTAAAAGCTTTGTAAACAATAGCCAACAGCACTCTTCATCTAATAAAGTGCTAAACATGGACTAAAGGGAAGCAGAGTTTAGCTTTCATGACATGACAATAACCATCATCCTCTTTACTTTGGCCTTGAAAAGAGACATGAGTTAGCCAAAATAATGATAATGGTCACTGATGATAGACATAAATAAATAAATAAAAAGGCCGTGGATGAGAAAGGATTCATGAAAATGCAGCTAAGTCTTCTGTTCCCTTTAACATTTATGCACAGATCATACTTTAAACACATATGACGCTGAAAATAACATCAGAAACAGGACAAATACTTTTTGTTACACTGATGGCAATGTGTTTATGTGACAACTGCAAATGTTTGCTGCAATACAAGATAAAGTGGCTAAAACATTTACATTTGTTGAGTTAGGCTATATGTTATTTGGAATTGCATTTTAAAAAAGTGTGCATCAAATAGGATATTTGAAAATAATCAGTAAATATGACAACATGCTGAACAGGTAACTGAAGAACTTGCATAACATTTTTAACAAGTTTGGCTAATTAAAATTTGGTTAACATGTTTATATTAAACAATTCTGCAGTGCGCAAGTTCAAGTTCAACATGCACCCCCTCAAGTGTAACAATGGGCTCGGCACCGTGATGTGTGCTATTACTTTTATTGGCGTTTCAAGTTACCATAGCGACGTAATGTGCAAAGCCTGATTGAACTTTTAACAGCCTCTAACTGCCACAGTGAGGTCACATGACATAGAGGGAAGACGCCTCTGAACAAAACTATTAAACTAAACTAAATTAACAAAACACTGACTAACTTTTGGAGCCATTTTGGTTCAAGATGGCTGCCGAAAACTCAAAATTGACCATAACTCAAGTCATTCTTTGAGACATTGAGCTGAAATTTCGTATGGTCATAATGTGAAGCTGAGGCTGTTCCTGGTCACTTATTGAATCCAAATCAAAATCCAAGAGGACCACCATAGCTTACAAGAAAAAATGACTATGACTCATTGATTTTTTTTACCATATTGAGCTGAAATTTGGTGCACCAGTAGCTGAGTGAACCTCAGCACATAGTAGGCTACTGTAAAAACTATTTTTTTAATGGCCGCCAAGTGGCAGTCCCCATCAAAGTTTCTCCAGGAATTTTCTATTTAAATTTCCTCCCTGCTTTAAGTAAATGTACCACCAACAGAAGCAAAGTACGCCAGGGTGAGAGTCTCGTGTAGCACAATGTGACTACAGGGATTGGTGATTCAAAACAATGGATTCTTTTCATTGATATGTCCAAATAATCCAACTGTAGTCTACATGAATGCAGAAAAGGATCATCGCCGCAAAATGTTAACGCAAAACAGCATTTAAAGCATGACATGAACACAGTGGCCATCAGAAAAATGTAACACAATGAAGATGTGACAAAAGCTTCTGAAAATAAAAAGCATCATAAAGACGACACAAGTTGACAAACTCCACAATTGGCAAGTGTCCAAAAACTTTGAGCCCTTCAGAAAGTCTGAAGAAATACTGATCATGACCAATTTCAAATTTAAAACCAAAAACTTCATGGAAGCAACTTATTTTTAAAAAAAAATGAAGAATGACTCAAAAATGCTGTAGTGCACTGTGTCAAAATATCCTGTTGGCAATAAATAAGACTTTCGCTTCTTCTAAATGATAAAAGCTGACATCACAATAAACATTAATAAAACTGATCTGCTGCTCAGAAACAAAACTTTTGTTGTTAATAGTTGCAGAGGAACTACCGTGGGTAAAAACCACTAGTGCAGAGAAGATTCAACACTTTGACGTGTCTTCATGTTACTACAGAACACTTAGTGGAGAATGCTGACTGTCTGGCAGAAGGAGAATAAAATGCACTTCCTGTGACACGTACCTTCCTCCTCTTGAACCACCTCCTCTGGCTCTGGTTCTGGCTCTGGTTCTGGTTCTGGTTCAGGCTCTACTTCTGGCTCTGCTTCTACCTGAGCCTCTGCCTCTGGGGCTACTTCTACCTCTACTACCTCCTCCTGGGCTACGGATATGCATCGTGCACCACATTGCAGAGTTGAGGGTGTCGGAGACGTGAAACCACAGACATGACAGAGCCATTAGACACCCAATAATGCTTTAATCACAGAGAACATGAGTGGATGAGTGAAGGACACTGCTGGAGAACATAAAGAGAAACAGGTGATGGTGATAAAACCTCCACTCACCTTTCACACAGACTCCATATTCAACTGTCGATGTGTAAAACTACCGGAGGAACCTACAGTAAAGGCCTATCAGTGTTTCTAACATTAATAACTAATACAAAAGAGAGGCTCTTAGAATAATGGAAGTTATTAATATTTCATTATCTGAAAATCAGGTAATATATTTAAAAAAAAATCTAAAAACAAATAAAAGTAGTATATTCACAAACATGATTAGTTAAATAATAAATAAATAAAAACTGTCATGTGCAATAAAACACTTGTAGCACTACAATAGTCATGCTGTTTTGTTGCCAGCTGTCTGCAGGGGTCGCCACAGTGAATGAACTCGCATGAAAGATTTGCTCAGTGGTTTTCTACCCTGGCCTTGAACCTGCAGCATCAGGATAACAGGATGGCAGCTGTGACCACTGAGCTCCCGCACTCCTCAGCATCATATGTACGGCTGCTAAATCCATCCATCCGTTCATTATCTTTTAATCACTTCTTCAAATTTTGGGTCATGGGGGTCACTGGTGCCCGTAACCAGCTATCACTGTGTGAGAGGTGGGGGACACCCTGGACAGGTCTCCTGTCCATCACAGGGACACATAAAGACAAACAAGACAAACAACCATTCACTCTCTCACTCACACCTAGGGACATTTTAGAGTTATCAATCAGCCTAACATGCATGTTTTTGGTCTGTGGGAGGAAACCGGAGTACCCGGAGAAAACCCACGCATGCACGGAGAGAACATGCAAACTCCACCCAGAAAGGCCCCTGGACCGGGATTCAATCTGGTGATCTTCTTGCTAGGAGGCGGCAGCTCTACCAACTGTGCCACATATGCCCTATCATTATTATTATTATTATTATTATTATTATTATTATTATTATTATTAATATTATTATTAATATTGTTGTTTCTTTTTCAGAATTTGTATTTTTACAACACTAGTGAGCTCAAACCCTGAGCTTGGGGTCATAATGAGGCATGGATGGAGACAAGGATAATTTCATAGAAAGTATCTTTCTTCAAGCATGTGCTGTTCCCAACAGTGTGATTCTCTTCTCCTGGTAGTTCTGAAAGAGTTTTTGTTCTTAATTCCACGCTGCCAAAGGAAAAAAATGTTCCAGGACCTATTATTTGGCTAGTTAATAGATATGTCTCAGATGACCATGACATCATGGTTTTTGGCTACAATTTGGAGCTCATGGCCACATCATTATTATTATTATTATTATTATTATTATTATTATTATTATTGTTGTTGTTATTATTATTATTATTATTATGGGTACTGATAGTGCAAAGGTTAGAGAAGCTGGGCCTGTGATCGGAAGGTTGCCTGTTCAACTCCCCAGGCCTACAACATCAAAATGTGGGTGGGAAAGGTGAAACACTTGCCTCCAGCTTTTTTTGCCCCACTCTGGGCCCTTGAGCAAGGCCCTTACCCCCACCATCTGCTCCCCCAGGCACCCTAGATGCAGCTCTCTGCTCCACACAGAGGCCGTGGTAGCTCGATGTCTGTGGTTGCGTCAGAAAAGACATTCGGCATAAAAACAATTGCTAAGTTTTCGTGAGAGTTAGTTCACTGTGGGGACCCCTGATGAAGGGAGCAGCCGGGAGAAGGAAAATGATTCTTATTATTGGTTATTATTATTAAAAACTGCTCAAAATTTCCTGACCAACCTGCTAAAGCTGTTACAGTGAATTAGTTAAAATGCTCTGATCTCTGTGCTAACACGAACAGCTTGACTTTATGCAAGTTCTATTTAAATCAAAGCAAATTTTAACATTTTGAAACTAATAAATACTGAGTTAAGCATATGTTCATAGGACAAACTGGATGAAATCTGAAACCAGAGCAGCTAACACTAGCTAACAGCGAACAGCAGCCTTTTGCTTATGCGTGCTTCTATTCAGTTAGCTAGTGGCTAACGAGATCTTCAAAAAAACATTTTACAAACAGTACAAAGATCTGATCGCTCACTTAGCATGACTCGGCAAGTCTTTTTCTGACAGCTTGTGGTGAATGTTGAGTTATGTTTAATTTCATAAAGTTCCTCCAAAGTAGTTTCTCTCATCCACGGTTTAAAATATGGGCTTTGTGTGAATCAGGCGTCACTGACAATAACACATGATGTCAACATCTCCACATGGTAAGAAAATAAATGTAAAGGCTCAGTTACATTTTTTTACTTAACCATCGGAGTCAAAATGTCACTCAGTAACAAAAATTAAATCGTAACTTTTTAAACATTTCAGCCAGAAATTAATTATTGTTAGCACACTTCTGCTCTTTGGCTAAAACAGAACATAACTTTGATTTTAAAGCTTTTTATTTTAAACAGGAAAAAAAAAAAGAACAATTCTTGCCTATTCAATTAAAACTACTTGATTCTATAAAATAAACTTTATATATCTCTAAATGCTAATCTACTACAGGCTCGTTTTACTTTTAAATTTAGCTGAAATCCTACAAGCGTTAATGAAACAGAGTGCGTCAGGGACATTTTAAGCAGCTGATTAAGTAACGTAATGGAGAAGAAATAAACATCAAGTTAATCATCTTTACCTTCCTCTTCTTCAGTTTTGCAACAAATGAAAAAAGAAGAACAATAAAATCACAAAATCAGCATGAAAAAACTATTATATTTTGTTTATAATCATGCATTGCTATGGAAGAGTTTAGTATAACAATAATACAAAGTTAATTTTGAAATCTGTATTCATTTTATTATTTAATTGTTGTATTATAGCAAAAGAGAGAGAAAAGTATTTTAGAAAGCTCAGATTACTTGAATTAAACTAGCAAAGATATGACAGAATAAATAAAACAACACTTTTGTCTCTAGTTTAAAAACAATAACAATGTGAGAATAAATTTGACAAAATTAATTGATGATTCTGTAGAATTGTTGTATAAACATAATAAAAACATGCTCGGTGGTTCTTGCTTACCGTCATACCTGAAAAACAAAGACATTCAAACATTACTTCAGAGGAAATGTATTTTTTCCAGTGAAATCTAAAAGGTTGTAATGTTTATGGGATTTACTTACACTTCTTCGGTGTCAGACATGGTGACTTCAAACCTGATGAGACAGGGCGTGTTTATTTACCACTGAAAAGACTACAAGAAGCTTCAGTGTGGTCCGTGCACAAATATCAAAGCTTTTCTTGTCCTTCAAACTCTACAGGCACATTTGTTCATGTCCTTCCATCTGTTTTCTGACACTTGCTTTATCTGTGATCGTGTTGCAAAGGCAAGGGGAACCCTGACACCCCTCTCCTCTGCTACACCCTCTAACTCCTCCTGCGGGATCCCAAGACATTTCCAGGCTACGAGGATGCACAATCCCTCCAGCGTTCTGTATCTGGCACTGGAATGTGCCTAGAACGTCTCCATCCTAATCAGACATCCAAACCACCTCAGCTGACACGTTGGGACACAGAGGAGCAGTGGCTCGACACTGAGCTCCCTCTGGATGTTGGTGTTTCTCACTAAGCTGAGCCGGGCCACCCAAGGGCGAAAGCTCCTTTAATCCAGGAGGTTTTTCCGTTGGTCATGATCCACACTTCTTGATCAATGGTAAGGACTGGACTGTGGAAGGACCAATTCAAAGAAGCATTCCACCCTCTCCTGGTTGTAAACCATGGCCTCAAATGTAAAGAGCAGGTCTCATTGTAGCCTCTTCACACTCAGTTGCAACCTGCCCAACTGCACTGACACCCTCCTCTCCACAACCACACCTGGAGATCTTGTCCACAAACACAAAAATACAAGATCAGAGAAAACAAGAGAAATTCAACCCACACTGGAAACAAGCTTGACTTGGGTCAATGATATGGATGCAACTCTTGATTTTGTTATACAGTGACTTCATCATCCTAAAAATTAACCTTGGTACCTTATAACTCCAGCACCACCACCAACAGAAGGCTTCCAGAAATATTCTTTCTTCTCTCAGCTTTCCCATCTTCAGGTCACCACAGTGAGTCATCCCCCTCCATATCTCTCTGTCCTCACTCCAACTTCCTCCATCTCTATCTGCATCCATGTATCTCCTCTTTGTCTTTTTCCTGGCAGCTGCGTTTCTAACATTATTCTACCAATATACCCACTGTCCCTCCTCTGGACATGTCCAAACCACTGTCCCTCCTCTGGACATGTCCAAACCATCTCAGTCTGGTCTCTCTAACTTTATCTCCCAGTTGTTCAACCTGTGCTGTACCTCTGATGATCTCATACCTAATCTTATCCATCCTTGTCACTCCTAAGGAGAACCTCAACATCTTCATTTCTGACACTTCCAGTTTTGTCTCCTGTCTTTTTGTCCATGTCTCTGTCTCCAGACCATAGAACATAGCTGGTCTCACCACTGTCTTGTAAACTTTCCTTTTGACCTTTGCTGACACTCTTTTGTCACAAATCACTCCTGAAACTGATCTCCATCCTCTCCATCCTGCCTGGACTCGTTAAATTCACAAAACACGTAGACTGGGAAGTCAAACTCTCATGACCTCCTTAGTTATTCTGCGTGGGTGAAGATCTGGTCCACTGGTCCATGACACAGAATGAAGCAACATTGCTCTTCCTGAACCTGAGCTTTGACTACTGGTCTAGTCTCCCTTCCATTTGGTGTCATCTGCACCACTATATGATAAAACAAACTTCCTAGGCTCCATTTTGTTTGAAGCCAGAAATTATAAAACAAAAGTTTGTTTTTTTCCAGTTGAAGTTACAACTTGTAACTCAGAGTTCTACTGCAAATACTTCTGCATTGTGATTGCAGCTGATTATTTAGAGTTGATGGCAAAATGCTGCATCTGTTCTCTCTGAAGTTTTCACAGCCTGTCCAGAACTGTTTCTCAGCTAATCTCAGCTAATCTCAGCTAATCTCTTGACGGTGGTCTGCAATTAAACCAACGTTGCAAAATTATCAACAGAATCCTGCTATACTGCAACATGAACATGATATTTTTGCAAAATAGAAAAAAAATAAGGAAATTTTGCAGATGAACACAAGAAAACTACTTTCGAACAAAAATAGGTTTATTGTTTTTTACAAACAGGGCAACAAATGATGAGCCAGAACACGAAGACCTTGTCACATGTTAGATTTTGTAAAACTATAAAAATATGATTTCTACATCCTAACCAAGTAGTTTATGATGCCTAAAGCTAATCAGTTACTTTTACTAGCTAAACCAAACTTTAGGTGTTTAAAACTATGCAAATGATTACAACCCAAGTGTGAGGCAGTGATGATAAATGTAGGTCTGATGTTTTCTCAGACTGGAGTCAGAACCATCTGCAGCTTCACTGTCAACTCATTTGAAAGTCTTTGAAAACACAAACACATAAGCAAAAACCATTCATCCATTCATTGTCTTATATCCACTTTTAGACTGGGAGGGAGCTGGCACCTACATCCAGCTACCATTGATTGACAGGTGACGTACACCATTGACTTGTCTCCAGTCCATCACAGGGACAAACAAGACAACCATTCACTCTCTCACTCTCACCCAGGGACTAGTTAGGAGTTAGCAATCAGACTAACGTGCATGTTTTTGGTCTGTGGGAGGCAGTAGTGAATCGTGACAAGAAGAGCTAGGCCTTCAGTTCGGGTGTAATATTGTAACATCTTACATTCTAGTAAAGGACTTTTCTTTTTATTCATCAAGTGTGACTTGTGGTGTTATTCCTTTTACAGTCACTAACAACAACATAAATGCCAACCTGAAAAAGCCCAATCACATCTGTTCTATGATTACCCAGCATGCCCTGCGGCTCGCACAGTCCCTTATGTTCATGTGCAACATGTGTGTAACTGTAAACCACAGAACTTTTTGTTTCTGTAAAATTTCATCATGCAAGGAAACCAAAACACAAGTGTAATATTGAAAATGATCAATGTAATCCTAAATTAGTGAGTCTGCCTCAGTATTCTGACTGATTACTGTTCCTGTCAGTTACTGATCAAACTCTTCCTGGAGACTGAGCTGTGCCTCCTCCACTGACACTAAGTCCTATCCAGTGAGAGCTCCTTCTGTTGCAGCATAGAGACAAAAATATAAATAATCTAATTGGATAACTGCATTTTTTTTATAAATTAAAAACGTGCAAAGTAGTTTACAGAAAATAAAAGACGAGGAAAAAAATCTACATTTAAAATATTTATTTTATTATATAATATATAATAATGCTGATGGATGGGAAACCCTCAAGGCCTTCAACACCTTCAGAGAAGGCCTAAGAATTCTGCATATTTGAAATTATATATATGTATATATATATATATATATATATATATATATATATATATATATATATATTATATATATATATTTATTATATAAGCTTTTAAAAGAAAAGGGGGGAGGGGGTCCCCCCCCCCCCCCAATCATGAACAATGGCTTGGGATAATAAAAGAAACCTATACAATGGAAAAATTGACATCGCCTGAGAGTACAGCAAACACAAATGGAAGAAAAATGGGAGAAATGGGAGAAATGGACACTATTGAAAACCTAAGGTAGCGACAAAAAATAAAGAACTCAACAAACTGTATAAGACAAACAGACTATTAGAAGATTAACTCCCAAGTAAAAGTTCTTTTTATGTTTTTGCTTTCCAAGTTTTTGTATGTAGTGTTAAATGTGAATTGCTCATTTACATGTTATATGTAAATAAATGTGGAAAATGCCAATAAAAAAGTTAAATGATAAACAAATATTTATTTTATATAAAGTAAATAATAATAATAAAAAATGTTACATTTCAAATATGCAGAATTCTTGGGCCCTCTCTGAAGGTGTTGAAGGCCTTGAGGGTTCCCCACTGGTGGGAGGAAACCAGAGCTCCCAGAAATAAACCCACTCCTGCATGGAGAGAACAGACAAACGCCACACAGAAAGGTCCCGTGTCGGAGGTGAACCTGCCAGTTTCTCTCTGTGAGGCCACAACTCTGAAGCAAATCTACTTTATTTTTTGCACAATACTTTTCTAATAATAAAAAATCACAGAGTCATCAGGATACTTGCATCCACAACCCTCAGATACAACAATAGGAGTTAGACAAAAATAGAGTAGGGTCTGGTCAGGTTAGCTTCCTCCAGCTTGGTCTTCAAACTCTCTATCATTTTTTTCTCAACACTTAATTCCTGAAATAGAATTTCAATTTCAGTTTATTTTGTAACTGTTTGTTGACATTTCAACTTTATCCATAAAAATAAAAAAGCAAAACTTTCCTTCTAAATCACCACCAGCCTCCGAACAGAGCTGAGCTCCTACGTCGCCTTGTTGAAGTCCTAAAAAAAGAAGTTTCGTCTTGGGAGTTCCTCTCTCTGTACATTCTGTATCCAACAGTATCATTTATAAATATATACATATAAAGTGTCTTTGGATGACTTTTTCCTCACTTAGGGTGAGCACAGCTGCAGAGGACTCAAAGGATTAGTTCTGGATCATATTTCTACCCATCAGCTGAGGAACAGTATTCAAATAGCTGCTTTAATCCCCGTGCTTGGTCCAGCGGGAGGATCCTCTGCTCTCAAACAGCCAATCACCGTCCACCTCCAACAGATGCGCTCTTTATTCATCCTACAGCTGACAGTGTCCTCACCTCTGTGCACACAGCAGTACATAGCAACGCTTCACCGTGCTGTATATTTACAGAGTGGACACTTCATGATTCAAACATGGATGCTGATAAGTTCTCTTCTGAGTCTTTATGAAATTAAAACTTGGTGTTGAGATTGACGGATCAATGAAACAGAGGTGACCACAACCAGATCACTAGTTCAACAGCATCTCAGGTCACCGACAGGCTGTCTGAGAAAGACGAGCAGCTTCATGAAAGGAGTGAATCTGAAAACCTCATATCTTAAAGATGTTCTTCGTGATGACATTTAAACAAGTGGGCGGGTCCGACTGAAATCTGAAACTCTGAGAACTAGTGTGACGAGGTGAGGGGATTATAAAGCAACAAAAAGTTTGACAGTAAAACGTCCCGATAGTTCGCTGCTTTAAAAAACTAATAAAAATACAAAAAGCAAGAGTCTGATGGATTAATATTACCATAAAAGTTGATTTAATAGACTGAGAATAAGTCAATCAGAATATTTAAGAATTATTCAAAGATGGTGCCGTATTTTTAACCATGTTTTGGTTAAATAGTAGTAACAAATTCCAAATGAGATTCAGTAAAGCACAATACCTCAGATAACTTACTGTAGGTCACCCCCCCACCCCCCCACCACCACCAGTTGGCCTTGTCCAGTAAATTGTCTCTGGGCGTTAAATTCATGACAGACAATTTAACGCGTCTCCTTTTATGTCCAACAGTCAGCATCACTTTAATGACTTCTTCACTTGAGAATTAAATACACAAATCACAGCTTTCCACGTTTATTTTATTTTTTAACTGAATGCTTTATTTGTAAAATAAAATTATTTAATTATCATCAAATTTGTCTGGCTAATAAGTACACTTGTCTAACTCCCGCTGTAGATATTTTCTGATTTCTTCTCCCCTACAAACAATCATTTATTGTGCATAAAGTTCTATTTTGGTCATCAACCTTGTCTCTGTTGAACCATGGCAGTGAAACGAGACGCCTACTGTTGTCAGATTGTTAACCTAACCAAAAAAAGAACATGACACATGCCTCACTGAACACAACTACCTGCCTAAAATTACATCTTGCTTTATTATAATAATAATTGTATTTTCTGAGCATCTTAATCAGATTAGGGTTTATGTTTTAGCTTCACCCAAATGCAGTAAATATTTCCCTTTCCTTAAAATAACGAATACATTGTTAGAAACCTGTTATTTATCTATGAAAAGGGACTTCAGGGGTTTTGATTGGCTGCAAGAGACTCACCTCGCAGAGGAGAAGCAGCTCCCACAACGATGAAGAAGAAGGTCTGTAGGAATCTGTAGGCTCCGCGAGGAGAACAACTTCTTGTGTTATAGTGACACTTGAGAAGATCAGGTCCTTATTGGCTGTGGGATGAGAGGGAAGTGTGTGTAGTGTGTATATGTTTATGTGTGAAGGCTGTAGGGAGGATGGTGTGTGTGGGGGGGGTGGAGGGTGGGGGTTCGTTTGTGACCCTGAAGAAGGAGATGGGTGAAATACTGTGGATAGAAGAGAAGAGCTCAGGTTTTGAAAAGGAGCAGCTGAGAAGCCTCTGTTGCTAAATATACAGTGATGGATGGCACACCAGCTTGGCATCCAGACAATGAAAGGAAAATGTGTGTGTGTGTGTGTGTGTGTGTGGGTGTGTGTGTGTGTGTGTGTGTGTGCTGAGTAATTTATCAACCAGTAAATCCATCAGTCACACATTCAGTGAAGAAAGGTAGAAAAACAATTATTTCAAGAAAAAGGGTGAAATACAAACCTGACAATCAAAAAAGCCAAATAGTAAAACAAGTTCATTTTAATTTTTGTGTCAGAGCATATAGTTACTGTGAGAGGGTAAGTTTGTCCTGACCTTTGGTCCAAACCAAACACGTCTTTAAAAACAAAAAAAGAAACGTAAGAAAGGACGGCAGTGACATCGGTGGTATGCCGATGTCACTGAGGGATTTTAATAGTGAATGTTTTGTAGTTTATGCAATGTTCTTTTCTGGACTGGAATGGAACAGATGATACAAGTAAACCTTAATATTTTTGGTGGAAAATATTTCAGTGGGTAGGAGACAATATGTATAGAGGTAGTTTTTGTTTTTTTCTTTGGCATGTCAGAGACGCCACAAAGTGCTGGATCGTTGTCGGTGGAGAGCAATTTTATCCACAACCAGGGGCAATGGCAGAGCCAGGGTGTGGCCAATGGCCTACGCCACCAGGGATTAATTTTTGGTCGCCCCAATCATTTGAGAAAATGTTACTTTCTATCATGTTCAGATTAGTTTAAACCCAAGAGTAGGCAAACTAATAAAGTCCAACACACAGATAAAAAGATAAGTATAATTTATTGTTAAAGTAGTGGTATTTACATAGGATGATTATCTGAAAGTAAGAGTGATATAAGGTAAGTATATGGGGCCTTCAATGTAGAGTTGCATTCGGGTCCAAAAAATCCGCCTCAACCTGTCCCCAGCCTGTAGCCATAATTTCCGAGCCTCACCCAATCTGACGAATCAAAAGTAATTACAGGTCCGAACCCCACCATTTGTAATTAAGCATTGACTGGTTATTAACAGTAGTTATTAACTAGCAGCAGACACGTGCGGCTGAGTAAGGGGGGCAGAAGATCGGAGCTGAGGGTGTGTGTGTCCTTTCATAGCTGTCAAAGTGCATTGAATGCTTCCCCTGCTTCTGCCTGCATTGGATCCTGCTCTGACGCGTCAGATATTTCGTGATCTCACCTGTTTGGATTGTCGGCCGCGCGCGTCTACTGAGTGCAGCGGCTGAATGAACATCCATTTGGGTGATGGATCGCTGGCAGTAGTCCATCTGAAGCTTAACTGAACTTTTTACCTCTTTCAAGACCAGTCAGTACGCGGTAAAATGGCCACATGTGGCAGGTGATAGTATGGCAAGACATGTTGACATATAATTGGATCATCAGCCATGCGTATCTTTAACATTAAGCACATTACCATGAACCAGCCCAGCCCTAATCTGGGTCGGGCGGGGGTGGGCTCCGGGTTCAGGTTAGAATTGACAGCTCTACTTCAATGAGAACATTTGTATCTTTCTTACAGATCTTAAAATGGAAAACAGCTTGGAGAGGAGGGTGGAGATCCCAGGTGAGTGGTGATTCAGGTATGTGGTTCGTAGGAGAGTGGCTGGATGGAAAACAGGAGAAATTATCCAATGCAAGGGGTATATTCTGATGCATGCTCAGTAATCCAGGTAGAAAAGTCTGACAAAGTAAAGGCAGGTCCTCTGGATGGATTCTTCTTGTTGAAACATTTTGTCTTTTATCCAAAAGACTGACCGACAAAGTTTTTTGGATAAAAAACGAAATGTTACAAGAAGAACAATCCGTCCAGAGGACCTGACTTTACTTTGATAGAGTCAAGGGGTATAGTTGGTCACAGGTGATTCCGGAGGCTTGGGAGGTATGAGGTTCCAGGTAACCCTCTTCACGAGGCAATCACAAGGAGACTCAAAGGAAGGCGCGTTTTCATAAGGAGGATAACCCAAACAACTCATGAAAACACAAGGAATAAAACAATTCAATTCAATTTATTTATATAACAAAGTTGTCTCAGGGCACTGAACAGAAACATTCACGTATATAGAAAAGCCAATTAGTAAAATTCTCTATCTAAGGAAGATAGCAGACTCGTTGAATCTTCACTTCGTCGCAGTCTCCCATCCTGAGCAAGCACAAGGGCAACAGTGGAAAGGAAAAACGCCCTTTTAAAAGGAAGAAACCTCCAACAGAACCAGGCTCAGGACAAGCGACCATCTGCTTCGACCGACTCGGTTTGAGAGGACAGGAAGGAGAGACAAACGAACACAGACAGAATGGCAGGTCCAGATGTAGGTGCAGGTGTACCTCCTACTAGAAGAAAAACAAAAACACATGTCAAAGACAGAAAAAAAAAAAATACAAATACTAAACAGACAGCAGCAGACTGAGGAAATGTGGGCAGTTTGTCCTCCAGCAGTCTAAGCCTATGGTAGCATAACTAAAGGATAGTTCAGGAAACCCAAGTTGCCCTAACTATAAGATTTATCAAAAAGGAAAGTCTTAAGTCTAATCTTAAAAGTAGACAATGTGTCAACCGCACGGACAGAAACTGGAAGTTGGTTCCACAAGAGAGGAGCCTGATAACTGAAAGATCTGCCTTCCATTCTACTTTTGGAAATTCTAGGAATCACAAGTAAACCTGCAGTCTGAGAGCAAAGTGATCTGTTATGAAAATATGGAACAACAAGATCTGTAATATAAGATGGAGATAGGTTGTTGAGAGCTTTGCAGGTTAGAAGTAAGATTTTGAATTCAATTCTGAATTTGACAGGGATCCAATGGAGAGAAGCTAAAATTGGAGAAATATGATATCTTCTATCAACTTTCATTAAAACTCTTGCAGCAGCATTTTAGATCAGCTGAAGATGTTTTTAAAGAAGTTTGTGGACATCCAGATAGTAAACAATTGCAATAGTCCAGCCTACATGTGATAAATGCATGGACCAGTTTTTCTGCATCAATTTTGGACACAATGTCCAAATCTTAGTGATCTTAGTATCATTTTAGTGATATTACGCAGGTGGAGGAAAGCAGTTTTGGTAACATTTTTAATATGGGGTTAAAAGACATGTCCTGATCAAAAGTAATACCAAGGTTTTTAACCTAAGAACTGGAGGTCAAATTTATGCCACCCAGAGAAAGTGAAAGAGTGTAAAATTGATTCCTAAGATGCTCAGGTCCAAAAACCACAACCTCTGTTTTGTCTGAGTTTAAAAGCAGCAAATTAAGGGTCATCCATGTTTTTAATCTTGTTTTGTCTTGTGAAGCACCTTGGTCAATGCAAGGCGTTGTTGGAAGGTGCTATAGAAATAAAGTTTATTATTATTATTATTATTATCCAAGTTTTTATGTTTTAAGACATAAAAAAACTGATTGTAACTTAAGTAACTGATATGATTCATCGGGTTTCATCGACAAACATAACTGTGTATCATAAGCATAACAATAAAAAATTATCCCATGCTGTTTGGAGACTCTACTTCCTCAGGCAGTTGAGGCAAGCTAGTGTGGGAAGCACAGTCCTCACCTCCATCTACAGGTGTGCAGTGGAGAGCATCCTGTGCTCTAACATCAATGTGTGGCGAAGAGGCTGCACAGCTACAGAAAGAAAAGCTTTGCAGAGAGTGGTGAAGGCTGCACAGAAGTCTTTTGGAGTCAGTTTCCCCACCATCACAGACATCTACACCTCCAGATGCAGGAAGAGAACCACCTGCATCATGAAGGACCCCACTCACCCAGAACACACACTTTTTACTCCGCTCAACTCAGACAGGAATTTACGGAGCATTAAGTGTAGAACCACTAGACTCAGGAACAGCTTCTACCATGAGGCTGTTAGACTCATGAATATCTAACCAGAATAATCACTGTGAAAAATCACATCATGTTGCTGCTGATCTGTTTCATGTTGCTGCTGATCTGTTTCAATGTTGATGTGTTCATTCGAACTCATCTGCTCACACAGACTCATGTTCATGCTCCATTCTAGACATGACAAATGCATGGACTAGTTTTCTGCATCATTTTTAGATAAGATGTTTCTAATTTTAGTGATATTACGCAGGTGGAAGAAGGCGGTTCTAGTAACGTTTTTAATGTGGGGGATAAAAGACATGTCCTGATCAAAAATAACACCAAGATTTTCAACATAATCTGGCCTCCAGAGCTGGAGGCCAGATTAATGCCATCTAAGGAAGGAGAAAGATTGAAAAATGCATTCAGTGCTGCATTTGCTAGTCGATCACAAAATTTTACCACAGATACTTCAAAATGATATTGGGAATACAGGAACAGCTCTAAAATGTTTTAAATCATATTTATCTGATAGATTCCAGTTTGTATGGGATGACAATGCATTTATGTTTGCTCTTCTCTCTGTTCTGTTCTACAGCATTTTTGGATTTCTTTGCTGATTTGACAAAGGCCCAGTTATGATATACAAATGGTTGGAGCACTTATTTTATGTCTTTTTGTTCCTTTTTCTTCTTCTCAGTCCTTATCTGGACCTGTTCGGCCTGATGGTATGGATTTCTGATGACAGAAAGTTTCTGTTACTGGGGTGGGGAGAGTCAAAGAGAATTTACTGAACTGCATGAGTTGCGTTCCTGTAAACTTCAATGTTGAGGGTTCTTTCTCCTTCCCTATGCACAAAAAAGTCCAATAAAAGGCAGTTTGTTGTTGTTGGCATCCTCTCTGGTAAACTTGATGTTGTCTGCAGAGTTGATGTATCTGGTGAACACTTCTACTTCCTTAGCTTGAATTTGGACTCTGGTATCATCTACATATCTGAAC